TCGACACTTCGGGATGTGAGAAATATGTTTTGATAAAATTTGGAGGTGTTTGAGGTCTTAGGGGACTCATTGTACCAACACTGGAATTTTTTAGGTTAACGTGGGTTTTTGAGCTACATCATGTTTCTTTCCCACCAAGTCTCGCATCCACGAGCATTTCACGGTCAAAAGTTGGTTTGTGTAGGTTGCAAGCATTTTAGACTTTTATTTGGACAATATGGGATGAAAATTTGTGCACATTTGACGTACTTCTGGGAAAAAGGGGCAATCCTGTGTTTTTGAGAGTCCACTTGTGTTTTCCGTGTTTCAAATCACTTTTAGAGTAAACTTCATGTTTCACACGCACACACGGTGTTTTAAAATGAATATTGACCAGCAATGCAAGCATCGAGTGACATTTGGGGGTTGAAATCCTAGTTTTCGTGAAAATCAACTAACTTTTCGTTTTTCGGGATTAGATATGTTTTCCACAAATTTTTATGTTGCATTACATTATTTTACTCCTGTGCAATAAAAAAAAAAAAAATTTCGGGTGAACCTTGCGATCGTATGGCAAACAGCCATGCGATCGCCCAAACATAGTCAGGACCAAAATTGGTCTTGACTGCTACCTCCTTGCGATCGCAAGGAGGTAGCCTGTGCGATCGCAAGGGCCTGCCCGTACTCGAAATAAAACCCAACACCCAACCCCATATTTCATCCACTTTCATCCACCCTCTCGACCTCACAAGCCATTCCCACACTTCACTCTCCAAATCACAAAGACTCCACCCTTTTCACTCATCAATTCGTGAATTACACTCCACCCAACATTCATTTTGCACCTCAAACCGTGATTTCACAGGTAACATTTCGGCATCCCCTTTTTTTTCCTCCTTTTGGGTTTCCCTTTTTTTCGATTTTTGATGATTATTGTGCATGGGAGTTTGGGAATAGGTAGTCTTGGTGATATGGATGAATTATGCTGTGAAAAATGTGGTAGGATTCCATTTCCCCATTATTGTCATTCCTCAAGAAAAACATCATGCCTACAATGTGTTCGACAAATTGCTTAAGTGATGATTTCTATACTTTCTCATGAATTTCGAATTTTGCTTGGGTTCCACATGTGTATGAGTGCATATTGTGATAAAATTTGGTGTACATTGCATAGTATCCATCACACATTCAATCATGACGTCTAGGCTGCACTACTGCACTCATGGCTAGGATATAGCACTTCACGGCACCGACTTCATCCCCCGGGTTTTCCACTCATTTGCCCTCCGGTTGGCACCAAATTTGGATATGTTGTAGTTGGACCTACCCTCTTTCCTATGCCCGAATATTGCTCGGGAAAATTTTGAGTTTTCTTGCCGATGTCACGGGGCGAAGTTGCTTAGTCGACAACAGTCTTACATGCTTACTTTCAAAATTTTCAACTTGCTTTTGGGGTTTTTCACATCTCTCCACATATTTGCCCTATCCTCTTCATGTTCCTCTTTCGATGTGCATCAAGTTTCCCCCGTTCCCCCATGTTTTGTGACTTTTCATTCCGTATATACTTGCCTCGTTTTTCGTGTTTGACTACATACTTCACCGTTCGCACCATACTTATTTCCATTCGAGTTTTGGGAATTTCTACATTTGCCTTTAGTGTTTATTACACTGCGTTCTATCTGGTTTGACTTTTTCTCTTCTCCTTCTTACAGGATGCCACCGAAACGTCTTCATACAGGATGCCACCGAAACGCACGTCAAAGGGCAAGGAAAAAGTTGGGTCCACCTCTGGCACAGCCCGCACCCAATCACCTGACGGGGGTGTGCGGCGTTTTCTGGGCCCCAGTTGTCGTCTTTGATATACAGATGTCATCTCCTATTGGCAACTACTTTCCGACTGCCCAGTAAAGCTAGAGGATTTTCTAGGATTTGAACTGGCTACATTGGTCCATAACTGTGGTTGGGCAAAATTGGTAGCCAACCCGCACCCTATCTATGAAGGTCTAGTCCGGGAATTTTACGCCAATTTCAATGAGGACATTGACACACCTGGATCAGAGCATCAGTACCAGACATGGGTTCGAGGCAAATGGGTGATGTTCACACCAGAAGTGATCCAGGACTACTACCAGCTTACATGGGATCATATAGTCCTGATACCTGGGAATATTCCATGGCCCGAAGTGGCGGAGGTTCTGATGGGGCGTGAGAATGTGTGGCCGCTAGCCACAGACGAGTGGTTCCAGATTGAGCTCACACCTTCCATCGCGATCCTTTGGCTCTTCATTTGTTACACCATTGAGCCAACGCGACACCAATCCACTTTCCCGGATCCCAAAGCCGGCATGCTATAACATTTGGTTCGAGGGCATAAGATCGATCTCGCCTCCCTGATCTATGAACAGATCCATACACTAGGGCTTTCAGGTGACTGTCGGAATTCGTTGATCTTCCTAAGCCTTATTAGCGGCATCTGCAAGCGCGTGGGCGTCATCTTCCCTGCAGGGGAACTCTCAGTCAGGATAGAGCGAGGCTGAAGTGACAAGATGTGCATATGCGAGCTCACCAAGGCCACCAGCCATCTTTACAGGGTGAAGAGGCTGAAGATATGGATATGCCTCAGGTGGCAGTACTGCCACCACCACCTCTTGCGGGCGACACACAGATTTTGAGGCAGATGTTTGCCACTATGACTGGCTACAACAGGGACCTACAGGGTCTACAGCAGGCTTTCGGGACCATGAGTACGAACATACAGCAGGTGCGGGCTAACACACTAGCCACCCGCACATTGTCTTCTGATATTGGTCGGGACGTACTCGCCTCCGGGAGAGTAGTCGAGACGCTGACTGGGAGATTGAGCCTATATACTGGAAGGGTGGATGATATACAGCTCCGAGCCGATGCGACGGTGCATCGTTTGGACAGCCTTGAGGCTAAGGTGTGGCGACAGTCCAGTTTTCTTCAAGAGCATACAGAGCTGCTTCGAGGACAGTCCACACTACTTCAGGAGCAGTCGGCGCTGTTGCGCCAGATTCTTGCACGACTGCCTCCACCACATGATGATGGTCCCAGTTTTGTTCCTCCACCACCTTCACCCCCTCCAGCTTGATCAGTGAGTGTCTTCTTATCTCCCACCTCGTCATTTCTTTTGACTTTGCCCTGTACCTTTTGTCTCTATCCTTAAATCTTAAACATTGGGGCAATGTTGGACTTAGTTTGGGGGGTGGAAAAATTGATTGTATTAACATTCGCATGGCATTTAATTTCAGTAATTATTGCATTTATTTTATGCATTCATCATTATTACAGCAATGCTTTTGTTTTGTTATCTGCTTGAGAAAAAAAAAATTCAAAATTCAAAAATTCTTTTTGTCTACTTCCGTATTTATGTTTTGTGTGCTTGTGTGGGTTTAATAGCCTTGCCGGCAATGATGAGAATATTGGAAGCAGTATGGCTATGAATTGTAGACATTGTGCATGTTAAATTGATTTATGCTTGTCTAAGTGGAGACTTGACATTTTTACGCACAATACTTATATTGGGCATGCTAAGCTAATGATGGATACATGAAGTATAGTAGGATTAGACATGATAGGTCAACCCCGTAACCCTCTATTACACTTATTGATAAACCATCATTTTAGAAGTTTGAAGATGATTTAGCTATCACAGGGGAACATTGAGATGAGTAGGGATTCCATTACTTGAAAATTGTGTTGTGTGGATTGGATTAGACCAATGAGACAAAAACGATGTAAAAGCTTCAAGTTAGAGGGCAGTTCTGGAAACTGGATGTCTAAAAGAAAAGGGGCATTGCACTAATCATTGAAAAAAAAATAATAATAATAATAAAGACATCGGTTCGAGCCTGTATAACTCGAGTGATTAAGTCTGTAAGGGTTTAAAACCTGGT